GTGCCCGACTTTCCAAATGGTCAGTCCATTGGCCAATCAGTGATCACATGATCGGGACCTCGTACAGAGGTCCGTCTGACGATCTGTGTTCCATTGTGTCCGGAGGACACAGCGGGCACCAGATCGTGGTGCTGGGTGCTCCCAGGGAGTGTGCACAAGCAGGGGGCGGGGAGGCCATTTATAAACGGCCACCCGACCCTGCACTGCCACCTTCCGGCCCTTTATATACAATGGCCACACGGGAGGTGGTTAAAATTATGCACAGTCTTGAGGCACCCCATTCTAAAATGGGGTGCCTCTAGACTATTCATAATTTTAAAAGGGCAACCCAATCTACAATGTGAAAAACTATTCCAATAGTTTTATACAACACAGCAACATCCTCCCCACATGTAGGACACCCAACATTAGAGGGGATTTATTCTTGCAAAGCAAATACACTTTTGCACACTGGTACTGACTAGTATTCCAATGTTTCTCTTTTCCCGCAGTTTTTCTCCATCACTGAGCTAATGTGACCCCAGCACTGATGGAAAAGGGCGGGGAGGGTCAAACTAGGATGCTGTGCATGCAGCTGACATCCTCCTTATCAACTGATGATCTAAATGGTTGTCAAGAATCCGGCAGCTAGAAGGTTGTATGGTGGACAATGAAAGCATGTGGCTTTGTGTAACTAATAGGCAGGCTTGTTCCACCCACTGGCTTGTATACAAGTTTTGGGCAATTTCAAGACATTTTGCCAAGGCACCCCTGAAGAAACCTCAAGGCACCCAGGGTGCCTGGGCACCAGGGGCGGACTGACTATTTGGAAACTCTGGCACTGCCAGAGGGCCCGGGGTCAGTAGGGGGCCCCATGAGATGCCCCTGGTACCTTTTTCATAGGCTTTTTTGAGTTTGGGCAAGGACACAGGGGCCCCATGATCCCCTATTGCCCGGGGGCCCCATGAGTTGTCAGTCCGCCCCTGCTGGACACCCTGGTTGAGAAAGGCTGATGTATGGGATTAGGGTATGCTGCAATCAGTTCTACGAAAAAAAGGGCTGAGGCTGTCCAAGTGGACGAAGCATCAATCACTTTATACAGCTCCATAATGCATTAGGGAAAAGAAAAATTAGGAAGGTGAACCAAGTTTCCATTTTTTTTTCCGTTTCCTTTCTTTACATCTGAATGTATCTACAAAGTTACCTATGCAGATACATACAAAGTAGATTTGTACTGGATATATCTTACTTTGTGGGTTTTCAGCACCTCCTGATAACTTTGTGCATAGTGAAAAGATATTTCGGATATGAATGGCATTATACCTTGTGTGGTGTACTTGAAAATCTTTCCTTTTTAACTCAGTGGGGGGTATGGGGAACAGAAAGTCAAATGAAAAATGTATTGAAAAGATTATAATCCACATGAACCTTTCTCATCCTTTTCAACACGGATGAACTCTTGGAAACAATTTTCAGGTGTCAAGAAATCCTTACCAGTAATTGCTATATCTACAGCTCACGGTACATTAGCATGAACGATAAGATGAGATATAAGTAAAAAAAAAAGAAATAAGGCATGCAACATACCTTGTGTATTTGACACCCACTCTGTATTATACAACCAATATATTCATGACTATTGCACCAGAGATAGGCTCGTCCACTTCCCCATTACCACCATTACCGTTCCGCACCAACCCCCTTCCCCTTAACCAATTATGCTAACAAAAGACATAACACCAATTTTGGAGTAAATGGCCAACATGGCCTTTTATTAACAACTCAAGTTACAATACACCAACCATTCCTTATAACAGAAACCCACAGAATTGTTGTTGGTTTTCGAAGGCACCCCAAAATGATCCGAAATGCACCTGCGGACAACCATATACACTAGGCCTCCAGCCGCAACCAACCAGCTCGGAGACAACCATACCGTCCGCAGTGCAGCACCACCACCTTCCAGTTAAACCTTGGTTAACTGGGAATGTCCCCGGGCATCCCATACCACGGATGGGTCCCACACCATTGTTGTTTACCTTCCAAAGAAGAACCGCCTCCAAAGACCAACAACCGCCCATGAACCAACATAATCCCCCCCTCTACCTGGAGGGACCCAAAACTCACCCAAACAGGGAGGGCGGGAGGGAAGCTCACACTCTTGCCGTCCAGCTAACTGACGCCCCCTCACAGAACCTCCCACCCTAAGGTGCAGCAAAACCCCACTACCTACACCAACCTCTACCAATCAGCTACCCCCCACTAACAATAACAAATCCCCCTGGAGCTACCTTAACCCTTTCTGCTCTTCCTTCCCCCACTCTGGGCCTAGTCATGTATGCCCTGCGCTATTTCTTCTTTATTTCGCTACGGGCATTTCTGTAATATAAATGAATTTAAATAAACAATAAGAAAAGCCAGAAAGGAAACGCAGAGTTTAGTGCTCGCTTATGCTGCGTTCACACTTGAGCGATTTGTAGCTTGAAGCTCCAAGCTCCAACAATGCTCAAGCTTGAAAGATCCATTGTTCTCCATGGTGCCTGTTCGCAAGATCAGGTGTGAACAGGCACCACAGAGACATTTTTTTTTAAGTTTGAGTGTTTTTGGAGCTTCGAGTTTCAAGCTACAAATCGCTCAGGTGTGAATTTAGCCTTACATTGGTGGTCGATGAAGTTTATCCTGAACAAATGTCAGCCTTTACACTGGTAGTCAGTGGGAAAAGACTGTTTTTACATTGGAGGTCAATGGAAGATAAACCCCTTTACACTTGTGGCTATTGAGAAGAATGCTCCTTACATTGGTGCTCAGTAGAAAAAGGGCTCCATTACACTGGTGGTTAGTGTGAGAAGGTCCTCAGGACACTGGTGGTCATTGAGAAGAATGTTCCTTACATTTCTGCTCAGTACAGAAGGACCCCATTACTCTGGTGGTCATATAGAATAATGCTCCTTACATTGATGCTCAATAGAAATGGGCCCCATTACTCTAGTGCTAAGTAGGGAAAGGGAGCTGTTACACTAGTGACCATTGAGAAGAAAGCTGCTTACACTGGTGGTCATTGAGAGGAATGCTTCCTACACTAGTGGTCAGTGGAGAAGGACCCCATTACACTGGTGGTCATTGAGAATATTTGCTCCTTACATTGGTGGTCAGTCGAGAAGGGCCCCATTACACTGGTGGTGATTGAAAAGAATGAGCTTTACATTGGTTGTCTGTAGAGCAAGGTCCCATTACACTGGTGGTCATTGAGAAGAATGCTCCTTACACTGGTGGTCAGTGGAGAAGGACCCCATTACACTTGTGGTCATTGAGAATAATGTTGCTTACATTGGTGGTCAATAGTGAAGGGCCCCATTACACTGGTGGTTATTGAGATGAAATCTGCTTACACTGATAGTCACTGAAAAGAATGCTACTTTCATTGGTGGACAGTGGAGAAGGACTCCATTACACAGGTGGTCATTAAGGAGAATGCTTCTTACACTGGTGATCAGTCGAGAAAGGTCTCAGCACACTGGTGGTCAGTGCAAGAAGAGCCCCATAACATTGGTGGTCATTGGGAAGAATGCTACATACATTGGTGATTAAAGCCAGAAAGGAAATGCACCAATGTAGTGCTCTCTTATGTTGGTGGTCGATGATGTGATTCTTACACCAAATGCTCCTTTACAATGGTAGTCAGTGGGAAAAAGACCTCCTTGCATTGGTGGTTATTATCAGCCAAACGCTCCTTTGCACTGGTAGTCAGTGGGAAAAGACCACTTTACATTGGTGCTTAGTTGAAAAGAGCTCAATTACACTGGTGGTAAGTGCAAGAAGATCTCCATTACACTGGCGGTCATTGAGAAGAATGCTCCTTACATTGGTGGTCAGTAAAGAAGGACCCCATTACATTAGTGGTTATTGAGAAGAAATCGGCTTACACTGGTAGTCTATGAGAAGAGTGCTCCTTTCATTAGTGGTCAGTGGAGAAGGACCCCATTACACTGGTGGTCATTGAGAAGGATTCTCCTTACATTGCAAGAAAAGTGCAAGAAAAGCCCCATAACATTAGTGGCTATTGAGCAGAATGCTCCTTACATTGGTGCTCAATAGAAAGGGACCCCATTACCCTGGTGGTTAGTGCAAGAAGGTCCCCATTACACTGGTGTTCATTGAGAAGAAAGCTTCTTACATTGATGCACACTCGAGAACAGGGGTGGACTGACCATTTGGAAACTAGGGCACTGCCCGAAGGCCCGGGGTCAGTAGGGGGCCCCATGAGATGCCCCTGGTACCTTTTTCATAGGCTTTTTTGAGTTTGGGCAAGGACACAGGGGCCCCATGATCCCCTATTGCCCGGGGGCCCCATGAGTTGTCAGTCCGCCCCTGCTCGAGAAGGGTCCCATTATACTGGTGTTCATTAAGAAGAAGGCTCCTTACACTGGTGGTCACTCGAGAAGGCCCCCATTACACTGATGGTCATTGAGAAGAATGATACATTGGTGGTCTGTAGAAACAGCTCCCATTACACAACTGAGCCCATAACATTGGTGGTCATTGGGAAGAATGCTCCTGACATTGATGATCAGTTAAGTAACTCCCAATTACACTGGTGGTTATTAGGGCAGAATGCTTGTTACAGTGGTGATCATTGTGAAGAATGCTCCCTACATAGATGGTCAGTGGAGATGGGCCCCTCTACACTGGTGCTCAATGAAAAGAATGTTCCTTACACTGGTGATCTATGTAAAGAATGCCCCTTACAAATAGCTTAAAAGATCATTGGTAATTGCTGTCAGAGGTCACATATCTGAGAGGCAGAAATTACATATAGCTCAAGGAACTCCTATTAAACTCTGAAGGAACCCAAGTTGAGAAAGGCTGATCTAACTGAATGAAAAGAACTGCAATGAGTGTTACATCATCAATAAAACTGATGTCTATGTGGCCTGTATAACAGTGTGTTTGAATTTGAATATTGCATTGTCTTTTTTTTCTATACCTATGTGCATTCTCTGATAGTTTGTTTTGTTCCGTAGGCGGACTCAGGAGCGAATGTCTGTCCATCCGCATCGGTTACGTCCAGGCTTCGAGTTCAACCCACAAGTGCAGATGCCACAACCTTTAGGGTCCCGGTACTTGGCCGAAGGGACAGACTGGTAAATATACTTTATACTTCAGATCCGTATTTGTTGCAGTGGTTAAAGTTAGAAAGGAGTGCTGTGTTATGATTTCTATAGTAGCTGCACATCATATGTTTATGACATCAATTTTTGACACATATGGATAGCGCAAAAGTCCTTTTTTAACCACTTCTCATCCAATGTAAATATTAAAATGTCCTCACAGCAAGTGGTTAATACCAGAATCATGACTGCAACTGCAGCCGTGATCCCGGTGTTGTTTATTCACCTGACGATTGGCTGTCAAGTAAAAGGGATACAGGTGGATTTACAGCCACTCAATCTTCTTTACAACACTGGAAAGGACCCCCAACACCACCACTGCCCATGGTGGTTCCCAGGCTATTTTGTTCATCCAAAGAGCCCGGGACCACAGTAAATGGTTGGGAAGGCTTCTTGCAGAAGAGATGGAGGAACAATAATAATAATAACACAACCATCAGTCCCTCCCCTCATGCCATTGTACAAGGTGTAATCCTAGAATCCTAGACTCCCATCTGCTCTTTCAGCCCCATATCCAATCCCTGTCCTAATCTTGTAGACTTCACCTCCTCAACATCTCCAAGATACGCCTTTCCTAACCTCAGAAACCACTAAGCAACTTATTCACTCCCTGTTATATCTTGGCTACTGTAACTCCCTCCTCGTTGGCCTATCTCATCGCAGGCTATCCCCTCTTCAGTCTATCATGAATGCTGCTGCCAGACTCATCCACCTTACTAACCGTTCTGTATCTGCCACCCCTCTCTGCCAATCCCTCCACTGGCCTCCACTCAGTGTCCTCCATCCCCCCTCTCTGGCAATCCCTCCACTGGCCTCCACTCAGTGTCCTCCATCCCTCTCTGCCAATCCCTCCACTGGCCTCCACTCAGTGTCCTCCACCCCTCTCTGCCAATCCCTCCACTGGCCTCCACTCAGTGTCCTCCACCCCTCTCTGCCAATCCCTCCACTGGCCTCCATTCAGTGTCCTCCACACCTCTCTGCCAATCCCTCCACTGGCTTCCCATTGCCCAACGGATAAAATTCCAAAACATTAACAATAACGTATAAAGCCATTTAGAACTCTGCCCCAAATTACATCAGCAATCTTGTCTACAAATATACCTCCTGCTCTCTAGCTTCCTTGTCTCCTCCTCCCATGCTCATCTCCAGAACTTCTCCAGAGCTTCCCCCATCCTCTGAAACTCTCTACCCCAATCTATCAGACTATCGCTTACTCTGCTCACTTTTAGGCAATCTCTGAAAACCTATCTCTTCAGGGAAGCCTATCCTGCCCTCAGCTAATAATGGAATCTTCTATTCCTTCTACCAGTCCATCCCCCACAGTTATTACCTTTTGTACCACTAGCCCCTCCCCCTTAGATTGTAAGCTCCAAGGAGCAGGGCCCTCCTAACTCTCTTGTATTGAACTGTATTGTTGCTGTATTGTCTCCCTTTATATTGTAAAGCGCTGAGCAAACTGTTGCCGCCATATAAATCCTGTATAATAATAATCCCTTCCCCAATCTCCTCTGTGATGAATTAAGCTGGAAGTGACGGGGAGCCCATCACTGCAGGTTTCAGAGCTAACATTCCCTGTTTTTTTACAGCCAGGCAATCAGCTAATCAAGCATGATCTGAGTTTGATCAGCTGCTTTGAAGGGCAGAGGAGACATCAGGATTTAATAGACCCCTGATGTCCCCAAAAAGTGTACCTGCCACCTGCCCAAAGGTATCACTAGGGGGCTTGTTCACCCCTTTGATAGCAATAACGATACATTTGTAAAAAAAAAAATGTAAAAACAATACATAATAATAAAAACAATAAAAAAAATGTAAAAGCACCTCTGTCCCCCCCCCCCCCCCCCCCCCCCCCCCCCGTGCAGACACGCAAATGCAAACACTTGCGCAAAGCATATGTAAATAGGTATTGCCACGAATGTCAAGAGTGACAGCAATAATTCTAGAGCCATAATAACAATTAACTGATAACCTATAAAGGCTTTAATAGAGTCACCTATGGATAGTTTTAGGTACTTTAGTTTGTTACCATTTCATGGGCCTGTGCAATTTTAAAGTGTTACTAAACCCACAACAGTACAATCAGTCTGTAGATGCAGTAAAGCATGCTTGTTATACTCACTGTGGAACCTAAGAGGTTAACCCTCTGCATTGCGTAAAAAGGCTGTTTGATCCTGTCTTCTCTGATCCTCAACTTCTTTTACTGTCCCCAATCCATCTGCCATAGTACAAAGCAGCAGTGGCAAGTCTACAAACACTCTGTTTGGGTCTATTCCTAGAGAGTTTTTTTGGGAGGGTAAGTGATTGTATCGGCACAGGGCCAATCAGCGCTGTCCAGGCAGAGGGTCAGGGGTCATGCAGCCTCATAGGACAGTCAGAGGGGAATGAAAACTCTTCCTACAAGATTAACCAATGCCCAGCTGGACACTGATAGAAGTCACAAGGCTGCTATGTATTGCTAATGAGAAAAGATATTTAACAGCCAATCAGCACTGTCTAGACAGAGGGTCCAGTGCTTGGCTGCACACTGATAGAAGGCACAAGACTGCTCTAACTGCTAATGAGAAAAGGTATTTAACAGTTTTATGTTTACTAAAATAATTGCATTTCCATGTTCACTGTACTGTGGAAGACCAGATATCGTGAATGCAGGGTCCTGGAAGACCAGATATAGTATAGTGAATGAATGGGGTCCAGGGAGACCAGATATATTAAATGCAGGGTCCAGAGAGACCAGATATAGTGAATGCAGGGTCCGGGGAGATTAGATATAGTGAATGCAGGGTCCGGGGAGACCAGATATAGAGAATGCAGGGTCCAGGGAAACCGGTGAATATAGTGATATGCATGTGGGGTCCGGGGAGACCGGATATATAATAAGTGCAGGGTCCAGGAAGACCAGATATAGTGATTGCAGGGTCCGGGAAGACCAGATATAGAGAATGCAGGGTCCAGGGAAACCGGATATAGTGAATGCAGGGTCCGGGGAGACCGGATATAGTGAATGCAGGGTCTGAGGAGACCAGATATAGTGAATGCAGGGTCCGGGGAGACCGGATTTAGTGAATGCAGGGTCCGGGGAGACCGGATATAGTGAATGCAGGGTCTGAGGAGACCAGATATAGTGAATGCAGGATCCAGGGTCGGGGGTAGACCAGATATAGTGAATGCAGGGTCCAGGGCAGAGCGGATATAGTGAATGCAGGGTCCGGGGAGACCAGATATAGCGAATGCAGGGTCCGGATATAGGGAAGTCCGGGGCACCGGATATAGTGAATGCGGGTCCGGGGAGAGCAGATATAGCGAATGCAGGGTCCGGGGGAGAGCGGATATAGGGAATGCAGGGTCCGGGGGAGAGCGGATATAGCGAATGCAGGGTCCGTCGAGACCAGATATAGTGAATGCAGGGTCCGGGGAGACCAGATATAGTGAATGCGGGGTCCGGGGAGAGCAGATATAGTGAATGCAGGGTCCGGGGGGGAGAGCGGATATAGTGAATGCAGGGTCCGGGGGAGAGCGGATATAGTGAATGCAGGGTCCAGGGGAGACCGGATATAGTGAATGCAGGGTCCGGGGAGACCAGATACAGTGAATGTGGGGCAGGGACCAGACTTAATGGGGAGACCAGATATAGTGAATGCAGTTTCCGGGGGAGGATATAGTGAATGCAGGGTCCTGGGGGGAGTGAGCAGGGATATAGTGAATGCAGGGTCCAGGGGAGAGTGTGATAGGGTAGATATATGAATGCAGGGTCTGGGGAGAGCGGATATAGTGAATGCAGGGTCCGGGGAGAGCGGATATAGTGAGAATGCGGGGTGCAGGGTCCGGGGAGAGCGGATATAGTGAATGCGGGATCCGGGGAGACCGGATATAGTGAATGCGGGGTCCGGGGGAGAGATACAGGATATATAGTGAATGCAGGGTCCTGGGAGAGCCGGATATAAAATTAAATGTTATCTATTTTTTTGACACAACATCATGTTTTATATTTTATTTAAAAACTAGGTATTGTGTTTGCGTGCACTAAAATTCATTTAACTGTACTCTTTTTCCTGAAAATTAGCATTTGACAAATATTATGCAACCTAAAAAAGTGCCATTTTATTCTTCAGGTCCTTTGCTTTAAAAAAATTTAATATCTGGGGGTTCAAAATAATATTTTAGCAAAAAATGCTGATTTTAACATGTATGTGAAAAAAATCTGAAAATGACCCCGGACAGGTTGTGGTTAAACTTTATATTGACATGGTTATTTACAGAAAATGAACTCTTTAGGGTATTTTTTTTCTGAAAAGAAAAAAAAAAACTTGAAAAGACTATACATTCCCTTTTAGTAATGCTTTTGATTTTAACATTTTGGATGATTTAGCAAAACACCTAATTGGTTACCCAGTCATAAACGGGCTCATTAACATGGTGCGCAGGGAGGCAGTAGCTCGGGAAGGTACAGTAGATGTATGTGTTCTGTACGACATTAAGCCTTTAGCTTCTGTTATAAAACAGATGGAGTTTCCGTTTCAAACATGATTTACTGGCACCAGCTGCTCTCGAGCTTCCCTTCGCCATGTGTTTACCGTAACAATAGAAGAATTTCTATAACAATCACTTTTTCAAAACTTAGCACAACTTCTCTGCCTGTCTACTGAACTCCAAACTTTGGGAACCCTGGCTCAGCTCTGTCTTTTTTTTTTTTTTTTTTTAATTTAAAGCGGAACTCCGGGCAGAAATGAAATAAGGCCAAAGACCGCACTTATGTATTCATAAAAAAAAAAGGCATATCGGGGCAAATAAAGTATAGAAAAATACCTGTTGGTCTACCAGAAATCCAAGGAGCTCTTACTTCCTGTCTGGCCTGACAAATCGGTACCTTTATGAATACAGGTATACCTTGGTTTACGAATTTAATGCGTTCTGCGGGACTTTTCGTATCGTGAAAAATTCATAAACCGAAAGGAATGCACTGAAAACCAATTAAA